GAGTAATTCCAACGCCTTGTTAACATAGTGCGCTCTGTCCATGACGTCCGTGGCCCTCCCTTTGTCAGCCAGCAATATGAGGGTAGCCTCATCCTTTCTGAGTTGGGCCACGGCTCCAACTCCTCCCTTGATAGAGTCTGGTGTTGCCTATGATTTATAAATATGTAACATTGCATGTACTAACAGCAATGTATTTTCTCAGCACTGGAAGAATGAAGAAACACCACTAGATGAAGAGATAATCAAAAAGCTATTGGACAAAATGGACAGACTTACATTAAGGATCAAAGAGAAAGAAGATACAGAATATTTTCAAACATGGAATTTATTTTATCAATGGTTGGAAAAAAGGGGTAGAGATTAAGAATTAACTTGTATTATTAAGCAAACAAATTAACCCAGACAACACGATGTTTATTAAGCACTATTCAAATGTACCCCTTTATGGATTACTGCCTTGTCGTGGCGAAGGGGCTTGCGTAACTCAATGAAGCTATAAGCTATGCTGTGCAGGGCCACCCAAGACGGACAGGTTATAGCAGAGAGTTCTGACAAAATGTGATCCACTGGAGAAGGAAATGGCAAACCACTCCAGTATCTTTTCCATGAAAACCCCATGGACAGTACTAAAAGGCAAAAAGATATGACGCTGGAAGATGAGCCCCTCAGGTCGGAAGGTGTCCAATATGTTACTGGGGAAGAGCAGAGGGTTAGTACTAGTAGCGCCAGAAAGAATGAAGCAACTGGGCCAAAGCCGAAAGGACGCTCAGCTGTGGATATATCTGGTGGTGAAAGGAAAGTCTGATGCTGTAAAGATTTTTTCTCCATAGGAACCTGGAATGTAAGATCCATGAATCAAGGCAAGCTAGACTAGTCAAAAAAGAGATGACAAGACTGAACATCGACATCTTAGGAATCAGCGAACTAAAATGGACAGGGATGGGTGAATTTAACTCAGATGACCATCAGGTATACTACTGTGGGCAAGAATCCCTCAGAAGAAATGGAGTAGCCTTCATAGTCAATAAAAGAATAGGACAAGCAATACTGGGATACAATCCCCAAAATGACAGAATGATCTCAATTCGAATCCAAGGCAAACCATTCAATATCACAATAGTCCAAATCTATGCTCCAACCACTGGTGCTGAAGAGGATGAACTTGACCAGTTTTATGAAGCCCTACAGCACCTTATAGAATTAACACCAAAAAATGATGTCCTTATCATCATGGGGGATTGGAATGCTAAGGTAGGAAGCCAAAATATAACCGTAATAACAGACAAGTTTGGCCTTGGAGTACAAAATGAAGCAGGGTACAGGCTAATAGAATTTTGTCAAGAGAATATGATGGTCATAACAAATACTCTTTTCCAACAACCCAAGAGACGGCTCTACACATGGACATCACCAGACGGTCAACATAGAAATCAGATTGACTATGTGCTCTGCAGCCAAAGATGGAGAAGCTGTATACAATCAGTAAAAACAAGACCAGGAGCTGACTGTGGCTCAGATCATGAGCTTCTCGTTGAAAAATTTAGGCTTAAATTGAAAAAAGTAGGGAAAAGCACTAGGCCACTCAGGTATGAACTAAATCATATTCCTGATGAATATACAGTAGAGGTGACAAATAGATTTAAGGAATTAAATCTGATAGACAGAGTGCCTGAAGAACTATGGATGGAAGTTCGCAACATTGTACAAGAGGTAGCAACTAAAACCATCCCAAAGAAAAAGAAATGCAAGAAAGCAAAATGGCTGTCTGAGGAAGCTTTGCAAATAGCTGAGGAAAGAAGGGAAGCGAAAGGCAAGGGAGAAAGAGACAGATACACCCAATTGAATGCAGAATTCCAGAGAGTAGCTAGAAGAGATAAGAATGCCTTCTTAAATGAACAGTGCAAAGAAATAGAAGAAAACAACAGAATAGGGAGGACCAGAGATCTCTTCAAGAAAATTGGAGATATGAAGAGAACGTTTCATGCAAAGATGGATATGATAAAGGACCAAAATGGCAGAGACCTAACAGAGGCAGAAGAGATTAAGAAGAGATGGCAAAACTACACAGAAGAACTATACAAGAATGAGCTTAACATCCCAGATAACCACAATGAGATGGTCATTGACCTCGAACCAGACATCCTAGAATGTGAAGTGAAATGGGCCTTAGAAAATCTGAGCAACAACAAAGCTAGTGGAGGTGACAGTATTCCATCTGAGCTATTCAAAATCTTAAAAGACAATGCAGTAAAAGTGCTACACTCAATTTGCCAGCAAATTTGGAAAACTCAACAGTGGCCACAGGATTGGAAAAGGTCAGTTTACATTCCAATTCCAAAGAAAGGCAATGCCAAAGAATGTTCAAACTATCGCACTATTGCTCTCATTTCACATGCTAGTAAAGTTATGCTTAAAATCCTACAAGCTAGACTCCAGCAGTATGTGGATCAAGAACTACCAGAAGTACAAGCAGGATTTCGAAGAGGCAGAGGAACTAGAGATCAAATTGCCAACATACGCTGGATCATGGAGAAAGCTAGGGAGTTCCAGAAAAACATCTACTTCTGCTTCATTGACTATGCTAAAGCCTTTGATTGTGTGGACCACAACAAATTGTGGCAAGTTCTTAAGGAGATGCGAGTACCAGACCATCTTATTTGTCTCTTGAGAAACCTATATGTGGGTCAAGAAGCAACAGTGAGAACTGGACACGGAACCACTGATTGGTTCAAAATTGGAAAAGAGTCCGCAAGGCTGTATACTGTCGCCCTGCCTATTTAACTTATATGCAGAGCACATCATGAGAAAGGCAGGGCTAGATGAATCAAAAGTTGGAATTCAGATTGCCGGGAGAAATATCAACAACCTAAGATATGCAGATGATACCACTCTAATGGCAGAAAGTGAAGAGGAACTAAAGAGCCTCTTGATGCGGGTGAAGAAGGAGAGTGCAAAAGTAGGCTTGAAACTCAACATTAAGAAAACCAAAATCATGGCATCCGGCCCTCTCAATTCCTGCAAATAGATGGGGAAGAAATGGAGGTAGTGACAGATTTTATTTTTCTGGGCTCAAAGATCACCTCAGATGGGGACTGCAGCCAAGAAATTAAAAGACGCTTGCTCCTTGGGAGGAAAGCTATGGCAAATCTAGACAGCATTCTAAAAAGCAGAGACATCACCCTGCCACAAAAGTGCGTATAGTCCAGGCCATGGTTTTCCCAGTTGCAATGTATGGCTGTGAAAGTTGGACCATAAGAAAGGCTGAGCGCCAAAGAATTGAGGCCTTTGAACTATGGTGCTGGAGAAGACTCCTGCGAGTCCCTTGGACTGCAAGGCGTTCGAACCGGTCAGTCCTAGAAGAGATCAACCCTGACTGCTCTTTAGAAGGCCAGGTCCTGAAGTTGAAACTCAAACTTCAGGATCTGGAGAAGGAAGGACTCACTGGAAAAGGGCCTAATGCTGGGAAAGATTGAGGGCAATAGAAGAAGGGGACGACAGAGAATGAGATGGCTGGATGGAGTCACTGAAGCAGTAGGTGAGAACTTAAATGGACTCCAGAAGATGGTAGAGGACAGGAAGACCTGGAGAAACGTTGTCCATGGGGTCGCGATGGGTCGGACACGACTTCGCAATTAACAACAACAACAACATTCAAATGTAATAATAGAAAATTAATAAATGTTTTTGAAAAATAATAATGAACAGACTCATCTTTTAAAAGTCATGTAACTTATGTCTTGTACTCATTATCCATTTTCTGGATTTTGTGACTATTTTTTCATATTAGGTTCATAGCTAAGTTATAGAAATTATTTTTTAAAAATCTATCTCAGACCATTTCTACAATGGATAGTTTAAGAAAATGTAGAAGTGATATTTTTTTTCTAATAGGCTGTACTACAGTTCTTCGTGTTCTTCAGCTTACTGAAATTCCACTTTCTGTTCTGTTCTGTTAAACAAAACAAATTTCCAACTGATGACTTGGGGTTTTTTTGCTTTTGTTTGGTTTGTTTTTGCCTTCAAAAGTTCTTTCTTGGTCTGTTTGGTAAATATTATGAAGAAAGAACATATGTCGCTTCACCTCAAATGTTATATTTATTATTAAATTTGAAAAAGCAGTTGTGCAACAGTCTTTTTGAGGTGTATGGCAATAAACATCTGCCCACTCTCTTTCAAGCAAATTTATATATATAATATATATTTCCGAATAAAGCAAAAAATTATCAGAAGCAAAAGAAAAAAAAAAGTAATAATGTACATGATATAAGGACTAGTGAGAAAGGGGGTAAATATCTCTGCTGTATTATTTTTTTTCTATAAAGGTTTCTTTAGAGAACTAACACATTAAATGTACTTCCTTGTATTATTCCAGACCTCATTTTTCTCCATATAGCAGTGTTCCCAAAATTATTAGGTGTTACCTCCTGTTTAAAGAATACCCAGAGGCCATGACTAGAGGGGCCTTTTCCCAGCTCTGGCTGGTACACTCAATGAATGACTATTTGGCTTCAGTAACTCATACTCTCATTACAAGGAGCATTAGCATTTTGATATCAATGATGGGACAGTGTTTGATCACTTAGTGATCTAATTGATCCTTAATTCATTTCTGTGATGGAAGCGAGGATTTATGGCACTTTAAGTTTGGAATTGCTACCTAGGTAGAGATAATAACAGCATGTGAGTTTTACCTTCTTAAAATGGTGTTATAAGGGACTATCTCTTGGACAAGAAAATTTAACCACAGTGCCTTCGTAACTTCCAGATCAACTATTTGGATGCCTTTTCTTCCTTTCTTTTTCCTTTTCCTTTTTCTTTCTTTTTATCTCCCAGAGTCACTTGGTACTGAAATATAAAATAAATAAATAAATAAATAAAATACTTCTTTTACACTATTGTCAAGTCAGCCGATCAATTTCTATAAGATAAACAGGCAGAATATGTGTTTTTTTAATAATCTATGTAAACCACGTTGATTTTTTTCTCATTTTATTTTTTAGATTGAAGAAGGTAGCAAAGCTGCAGCTGTGGATAAATTGCTTGTTGGAGATGAGATTGTCAGCATCAATGACATTCACCTCTCTGGCTTCAGGCAAGAGGCAATCTGCTTAGTGAAAGGCTCATATAAGTTTCTAAAGCTTGTGGTAAAAAGGTAAGATGATCACAATATGCAGTGGCAAAAACTGAAATTAGGTTTTGTTTCGATGTTGTTAATTTAGTGACAATGAATACTTTTTACAAAGATACCTTTGTCACCACAAATTTCTGTGTGCATTTTCTAAAGTAACTTCTTCAACATGTTTTATTTTTTAATTGCTTCAGAAAGCTAGTTGATGTTGTCATTCATTCTTGGGAAAAGATTACTCAACAATAGTCAGGTAAACTATTAGGATTTGTTCTGTAGCATTTCTAAATAAAAAAAACTGCAAGGTAAATATCTGGTTTGTACGTATTTTAAGTCTCATTATTTATGACTGTGACAGTTTTGGGGAAATGCACCTCATATCTAGAAATGATGCTTTGTCAGATATCGTGGGTTTAATCATTGAATGGTTGTGGGAAATATTCCTTCTCATTCTTTTAAGATTATAAAGTGTGATATTCATATCTCCACTGCAGTTTTTAGGTGTGTTAGGCTTCTGCTTTTAAGTCACTCTACCCCAATTTGGAAAACTGTCTATGTTTCAGTCTACTATTACTAATATTTTTAATAAACAGTAGCTTCAGAAGTCGAGTGTCAATGCTGTTAACATCGGATGCTCTTGCTTTGACAACTGATGGAAATGCAGCCATTTAGAATTAGTTGATGCTGGGAGGGGAAATAGGGATGAGAGTCCAGCTAGTCATAACAATAACAACTTAGCCATGGGAACCCAAGGACATTGGGCCCAGAGTTGATAGTGTTTTGGTGGGCTGGAGAGCTGAGGAGAAAGCTCACACTTCAAGCTAATTAGGAAATGTGATTTATGACTGTTTATTGGAGGAGGGAATTGTACTTTGTTACTTTGTATCCAGGGGAGGGGAATTTAGTTTTTGGTTTCAACTATTTGTTTCTCAAATAAAAGATTCTTTAAGGTAAACAATGCCTCGAAGTTCTTTTGAAGAGTTTCATCTGTCGGAACCATGACATGGAGTTTGTTGTCTCTGCACATACTGAGAATATCTTATTGAGTATAGTTATAGGACAGTATGGCTATATGTAAGGAATGAAGTTGGCATCCTAAAGAAATTATGTCAACATAGATCAGATGCATTCCAAGACTGTAAGAGAATAGGCAAATATAGGTTAACTCAGAAAGATGGAAAGAAAAAGACTAGCGTATAATGGCTGTAATTTCTGTGTATTACAGTGCACAAATTTTATGTATAGTAATTAGATTATCAATCTACCATTATACTATATATTGCCTCAAGGGTGAAGTGACTCCAGAAACTTGCACGATAAGATTGGCATATCAAGTAAAAAAAAAAACCCACCCTCATTATCCCCACACAAAAGCAAAAGTAAAAGTAAAAAAAAATACAGGAAATACCTGTGATTCAATAAGAAAAGATATAGAGTTTAGAGTCAGTTTGAGAACAGCCTTCTGGTTCATTTCTATAATTAGATCATATACCAAATTCCTTCTGAGCATCTAGTGAAATATCTTCTATCAATCTTTAATCTTTGTTATCTAGAGACCAGTCTTGCATGCTGTAAAGAAATTGTTGAAGAATTATAACAGAGAATCATGAGCAATAGGTTCTCATATTTAGTATTTTACCATAATCCTTAAAGAAAGCAGAACAAGATATCTAAAGAATCAACTTTTGGGGCACTGCTGTTTGTAACAATTTGGAGAAGTTTAAAAAGGGAAGAGGGAGGAGGAAAATTCAAAGTCAGCAGGGAACAGAGGGTGTGCCATTATATTGTATCAAATATCATATGTTGCTCATAGCTTGGGTTTATGTCACAGCCATGAATTCCTGCTCTAAAGGAGCAAATTTCTCTCCTTGAAACAAAAATTAATGAACTGGAAATATTTAGACAATAAGAGAGGTATAAAGAAAAAAATCTTCCAGAATATGCATCCCCCAAATAGAACATGTAGATAGAGTAATGGTTTTCAAGGTTTGAATTTATTCATAAAATGACTTCCAAGTGAATGCCATATAAGAGAAGAACTTTTAACTTTTTAAATATTTATATAAAGGCAAAAATTGCTAAAATTTTATGTTAGCCACATATGATAGAACTGTAGGAAGTGATAGGAATGGGAAATCAGGGAAGAAATAAACATGTCAGAATAACAACAAATACAAATACTTTCTGGGAGATCTATCAAAAATTATATAGCCAAAGAACCAATAGGTTATAACAAAGTCCCATCTGGTCTGAATATTTGATGGTATTTTGGGTTCTTGTTGGGAAAAAAGAACAATTAACATGTTATCTATTCCCTAAGCCAGGGCTTTTCAACTGGTGGTACGCATACCACCTGTGGTACATTGGCAACTGGCAGGTGGTATGCAACCATCCTGGAAGTGGTAGCGGGAGTGGTAGCGGGAAGTGGTAGTGGAGCACCAGGCTCCAGCTGATTAGTGTTTCTTCTGATTGGTGCTTTGAGACTCAGCTGAAGCACCAGGATCAGCGCCAGATTCCAGCTCTTTCCTTCACGGGGAAGGGGGCGGGAGAAGGGATGAGGCTTCCACATTCCTCAAATCTGGGGCAAAGTAAAGCAACAGAAACTGGAAATTGCCAATCATCTGGCCAACAGTGGCGGGCTCGGCTACACTGAGCTGGAAGCACAAGGCAGAGGCGCCCCTGAAAATGGACCAGAGGGAAAGCAGAGCAGAAGGGAAATCTGAAACCACCCCCCAAAAAAACAAAACCCACCTCCGGACAGTCTTTTCCCCTCCTTTCTGAACGTGAGGATTTGATCCCCTGAGAAGCTGCTGCCGCCGCCTGGCCATCCACTAAAGGAGCTTGGGAGGAGCAGAGCCTCAGGACCTTCGCCCCTTGGGCTGACTGGATTTGGAAGTGGCTTGTGCAGGACAGAGACCTCTTCCCCAGGGCTTGCAGTGGCTCTTCCTGGCCACCCTGATGGTCCCCTGCTACAGAGGCTTCGACCTGTACTTCATTTTGGACAAGTAAGTGGTCAGGTGTTGCAACGGCTGTGCGGGATGGGGATGGGCTGCGTGGGGTGCTTTGTTTTGGGAAAGGGCACAGCAGCCCTGACAGTTTTTCAAAACTCCGCAGCAGTTTTTTCCCTTTGCTTTGGGTGCTCAATTTGGACAAAAAACACCTGGCAGATGTTGCGTTCCTCTTTCCTCAGGAGAAGGTCAAAGGAAAATGTTTGGCTCCTTCGCTGGTTTCTCTTTTTTGTAACATTGCTTTTTTGGGGCGGAAAGTTTAGTAAAGAGCAGCTGTCAGCTTTCGTCTGTTTGATTAGACTTACAAACACCCATTTCCAAAGCCTTAGTAAATCCCTCGCTCGGCTTCCCTCATGGGATGCAATTCCCGCAGAGCAACCGTTTAAGACAAGGGTGGGGAACCCTGGCTCTTTTATGACTTGTGGACTTCAACTCCTGAGTCAGCCATGCTGAGGAAAAAGGGAGAGGTTTCCAAACTGAGCCGTGCTGGATCAGGAATTCTGGGAGTTGAAGTCCACAAGTCATAAAAGAGCCAAGGTTCCCCACCCCTGGTTTAAGATCTGTGAACTCCGGAATCAATTCGAAACTTGCTCCATGGCTGTGATGGATTATTGATTCAATCAATAATTAGAAATTAGCATCTACATACCCAAGAAAAAGAAATATCTTTGGGAAATATTAAACAGGCAGGAACAATAACAAACCTAACCCCAGAAACCAACTATTACAAATACGAAAGGCTGCTCCAAAAGAAACATCCATTTCCCTTCTCTTAGAAAAGTCAAGCCGAAAAATAAAAGTACCAGAGAAGAGGGGTTTTCTCTCTCTCTCTCTCTCTCTCTCCTCTCTCTCTTCCTCCCCGGCCTGGCACAGTTAATAGCCTCGGGCAGACAGCCAAGAAACATGAAGCAAAAGAAACAATGTAGTTTAAATGTAGCGATAAGCACTAGTGTTGAACAAACTACCGTATATGCCGGCGTACAAGGCGACCCGGCGTATAAGATGACCCCCATCTTTGTCGCCAAGCCGCATTCCTAGAACGTCATCTTATACACCGGAAACTACCAGTATTTCCGGCGTATAAGATGACTCGGCATATAAAACGACCCCCATCTTTGGCGCCGATTTTAAGCGCTTGCGGAAGTCGCCTTATACGCCGGCATATACGGTAAAAGAAAGCTGACAGGAGTACCCTATACCAGTGATGGTCAACCTTTTAGAGACCGAGTGCCCCAAAACCACCCCACCACCCCCGTCCCTGCTCCGCCCTGCCCACTGGGCCACCCACCACCTCCACTGCCTGCCACAAATCACCCAGCCAGCCCAGCAGCGCCATGGTGACCATGCCTTCCGCCCATGCCCTGCAGCATCATCTGCGTGCAACTGGGCACAAGGGCAGAGTCTTATCCCCACTGCCTGGCTACCATGTCCTTAGCTGCGCTGCTTCGCATGGGCCATGCCCAGGGGTGACTCTCCTCCAGGGGGGCTGCTGGTGAGGAGGGGGCTATGAGAGGAGGTGGGGCTGGGGAGACTGTGTTCCCACAGAGAGGGCTCTGAGTGCTGCCTCTGGCACCCGTGCCATAGGTTCGCCACCACTGCCCTATACACACATAGAAACCAATAACAGGATTAACCCCAGACACACACCAGCACCTGTGACAAGATTAACCTAGACACACATAAACTTTATCAACAAATTATTTCCTTCCCTGGGTGATAGGATTAATCAATCCTGCTGACAGTGAAAAAAACCAAGCTAGGAAATTACTTGTACCACCTGTGGTACATTGGCACTTGGCAGGTGGTACACAACCATCCTAGAAGTAGTAGCGGGGGAGGGGAATGAGCTGAACCAGCGGCAGCACCGCACAAGCCTGAGCGAGAGATGGCTGAAGCTGCAGGCTGTCAGGGCTCAGCAGAAGCGCCAGGATCAGCGCCGGATTCCAGCACTTTCCTTCGTGAAGAAGGGGACGGGAGGGGGGATCAGGCTTCCATATTCCTCAAATCTGGGGCAAAGCA